CTGTCTTTGTCATCTGCACGTTTGGTTTTCAAATTATTGGGGAATTAGGAACATTAGTATCAGGGCAGGGGTTGTTTCTGTGGCTAGTTATATCCTCAGTGGGTTACTGAACTTCAAGACAGACTGTACTTTGCACTGAGGCATACACTCCAGTAGTTAGCAGGCAATAACTATCATTAAGCCCAATTTGGTTTCTCTACTTTGTATTTAATGACTGAGAAGCCACGATGGATACACGAGAAGACCTTTTTGTAAAATCAAATCCCCTGATGACTACATAATTGTAATAGGAACCGAGAGCAGTGTGTGGTTATAGAAGAATGAAGACGAATGAGATCTGGAAAGAAATGGGAGGCCAGAACATATAAAGTAATAAAAGGAAAATTAATTTTTGAACAGAGTTACCATAACAGATATTTCCCCTTGATTTTTCTTCCTATTGTTTTAAGTTATATTAAAGGCAGAAGAAGAAGAAGCTACTTCATTAGATCAAATATAGCTCACTGGGGGACACTGTACAAAAACCATGAGAAGTAGTCCATAATTTTTTTATATTTTGCTGGAAAAACAAGGAATTGTTTCACTGGTTTATTGAAACATGTGCCAGCATATATATACAGCCATCTTTATTCTTCAGTACAGACTGAACTCTCAGAGGGAAACTTTCCTGTAGTCTTCAGGAATACCCCCAACCCCCCAGAACATTTAAATCTCTTGGCTGCCTTTTGTTCCCAGACTGTTCTAGTTAATGTCAGGGTCCAGGCTCTGGGCAGGCTGGTCTATGACTGATAGTGTTGCTTAGTTTTGCCCAGATCCCCAACATCACCTTTGACAAGGTCCCCAACGCTACTTGCTGAAATGAAGCTGCAAACCATGTCAGAGCCTCTGCTGTGTTTAACAGATGATTGTAGACACTCTTGTACCTCCTTTGTACATATTGACAATGAAACAGACAAAATAAACTCAGCTATGTTCCTGCTCCTGCCCTGCATTTGTGTTGGATTTCATTGTTGTTTTAGTTCATTCCTGTATTCAGAGTCCTGCATCAGGGTCTGTGTTTTTGCCTGCTATAACTGTCATATGTCAAGAAGAGCTTCTTGACAGCCACCCTTCCACCATTTCTAATGAGGCTTCGGTGAACAGTAGATGGATCAATTGAAGGGCCAAATGCATCTCTCAGGGTTGGTGTCGGTGTCTTGTGCTATTTTCTAAGGGCATGACTTTGGCATACTGTTCATTTGCTCTTTTAGGCCTGCCACTTTTTCTTTTGTCCTCCACTTATGCACTTTAATCATTTTGTTACCGACACACTGCACACTAAATAATCTAAATATTCCAAATCAGCGGTCCCCAACCCCCGGGCGTTTGGTACCGGGCCGCGAGAGTTGAGGCTCGGGTGTGAAATGTATGGTTTTCAGGGTTTTTATCAGTTTTTTGTTATCGTTTTTATCGTTAACTCTGTTTTCCTGGGTCTTTTCACGTGTGTTATGAATAAATCTTATTTTTTCGGTACTGGTACTAGTTTTATTTTGTTGTATTGATCTGCGACACCTTAAAGGCCGGTCCGGTCCGTGGCGCAAAAAAGGTTGGGGGCCGCGATCTAAATAGCAAAAACACTATTTTATGCTAATTAACCATGTTGTTTTTAGCATCTTTTAATAGATTCAACTAAAGAAGTAGCAAGAAATTATATATTTTTGGGATGGGTTCTTGTTTCTTGTGCCTAAAATTTATAATCTAGAACTGGTTTGTTGCTAACATGTTTATTAGGTGTAAGCACAACACTGGCTCATCCCGTGAGTTAGGTGCCTTTTTTCTTCTTGAGTGATTCACAGGTCAGTGTTAAGAGGCTTAAAAAGCAAAAACATTCCTCTGAAAGTGGTCAGATAGAAAGACTGGAAAAACTGAAAATGAGTGAAAAAGCAGACAATGACCAAGATGAACTAAAGCTTCACAAAAACACCAACGTGTGTGAGGGATATTTTTGTTGTGTAATAGGATTAAATCCATTTAAAGCCATGACAGAGTGCAGCTTGTCATGTTGAAATACCAGAACAAGTTATTTTTTCATTTCCTATTAATTGCAAGGTAACAATTTTTTTTAATACAATACCAAGTCCAGACCTACTTTTTTTTTTTTTAAATTTGTTTTATTTACGTGACACTTTAGATACAAACATTTATGCTAAATTACTATATTAAAGCCACCTATAGACCTTAACTCTAATTGCTGAATCAGATTTCTTTCTAAGCACTTTGGCACTTCCGTGTTTGCTTACATTTTGTTGTCCTGTCCGTTGTTTCAACTTTGAACATTAGTTTTTAAGCCTTTAAGCTTTTAAAATGTGAATAATGGTTTACTTGCATCAGGGATTTCTATTGAGGGAAGATCCTCAACGACCATGGCAAAAAGCAGCAATAAAATGTTATTTCTTTTTAATTATCCTTTAACAGCTTAATAATGTTTTTGTAAATTAATTCCTCATTGAGAGTGGGCTATGTTTCCCAGAGAGCCTCCTCACTGCTTTAATAGGCACTATAAGCCTGAAAAGCATCAAAAAGCTAAAAGAACTTCATTAGTGTGAAGAGTTTATGGTCCCTTTGTGGTCTAAAAATGTTTTACAACCACTGAAAGATGATATCTAAAAAAAAAAAAAATCCTTCAAGATCAATATAAAAAGCAACTTGCACAACAAATGCATGGAAAAAAAAAAGCTGCTGGGTCATGGAGTATATTTGGTCAGCCCTACTGTCAGTCGCTGTTGCTTAGCAACAGTACGACCATGCCCACTTAAGCATGTCAATATCAAAACAATAGACATTCTGTCAATGAACAAGTAACTACGCATCTGTTATGAAAGTGTTACAGAAGAAGTGCTGCAGAGGTTGTATTTTCTGTATACTACATCAGTGAGAAACAGTGTTTTAAAGTAGCAATGACACGATAAAATTATTTAGTGCGTCATATTTTTATGAAACATACACAACTGGGCAGCCTTTCGAAAATATTATGAAACCAGATCTAAGTACACAAGGTTTTTCTCAATTTGTTGAATGTAAATATTACCAAGACTGACTGAGGTTTGATCTAACAGGATGAATCCAACTTCACCAGTTCACCAATTCATTGCCTCTATCAGAACTATTTTACTCAGAACTGAGCCTCACTGGACTCAATAAAGGTGCGAGAGAGCCCATGCTGTTGTGTTTGAACTGATTGAAATCAGTATATTAATTAGAAAACCACACACCTAGGATTCTAATATCAGTAAGGATTCAAATCACACTTTTCCCTCCTCAATTAGCTATCAGCAGCTGCTCTCTAACTTAATAGCGCTCTTATCTAGCCCCATAGAAAGGTCAAGCCTACTGGGGGAATTGTAGTGAATGGCTGGCTAACATTTGGTACTTAGTGTGTGTCTAAGAAACACACAACTTGTGTGTGAGTGTGTCTAAAAGTATGTTAAGTTAATGTGCATCTGAAGGGCAACACATTTCTTGTGTGTATGATGGTGCTGAAAAATGTGGGATGAATTATGGTGAAGGACATTCATTCGCAAAGCAGTTGTACAGTTCCTAATTGGGGTCAGTCCCTTTCACCAGCACCTTTTTTTAAGTTGGTAAAATACCCGTGTGTCTTCCATATGAACGAAACTCATCTGTCATCAAGATCTTTAAACTCACATCCATTATTTTAATGATGTGAATAAAACAAAAGGACTTTCAAAAGTTTTTATTCCCATTTTAGGACTAACTATTAGTACAGCACATCCAAAAGTTTTACTCAACATTTCATCCTTCCATTTATTCTCATTAACTTAATAATGTGTCATATTGCATTACAACTTCGGCCTTTTGAAAATAAAGAGCATGCACTCCTCTGGTAATATTTGCACATGATTTAACAAAGCCACTGATTTCAGCCACACACATTTCTTAGGGGTGCAACGATACTCGTATCAATATTGAACCGTTCGATACAGTGCTTTCGGTTCGGTACGCATGTGTATCGAACAATACAAAATGTTTAATTTATTTGAACAACTTTTCTTCTGACAATGCTGTCTGTGTTGAGCGCTCAGTGGATCTGCGCTCGACAGTGCAGCCTAGGCGGAGTAGTCGAATGCAGATTCACTGACCGCAGGGCAAGCTAGCGAGACAGAAGTTAAACTCTTGTTGCAACATGGCAAATTGAACCTCCCCCACCCTCATTCAGATCTGGCGTTTGGAATTATTTTGGTCTTCATGTGACATATGACCCTAAAGGTAAGCGCGTCATTGACAAAAGTAAAACAGTATGTTGGATGTGCCACGCAATGCTCAATTACATGGGTGGGAACTAGTGCGTTAGCGCAGTTTGCTCGTTAACGTGTTGACGCCGTCCAGCCCCACGCACGTGGCGATCCACCATAGCTCGTTAATGGAGATTTGCCGTGTTGTGGCGTTAACGTCATTTCAACAAGATTAACGCTGACAGCACTAGTGGGAACACAACGAATATGACTGCACATTTACGCCGACATCATCCTAGTGCAAAGACAAAAACAACAAGCATGCATGCTACAAACTTTACCCGAGTCATTTAGACAGCCGTTAGCACATGATTCTCCTTATGGGGACCTGATATGTTTAATATGCTGCTGAGAATATAGCCCAGAAGAAGCGTATAGTATAGCTTTTATTTTGGAAAGAGACCATTTCTCTGTAATAAACTCTCTTTTCCAAAGATGAGTGATTTCTCGATCAGATAGATTTATTTTTTTATTACTTTGTTGTTTCAGCAACATTAAATTTAAAAACTGTACTTTTGAGTTAAAATATATATTTATAATTTTAATAAATGACAAATTAAAAAGGCATGAACATTTTTTTGTATCGAAAAAATATCGAACCGTGACACCAAAGTATCGAACTGAACCGAACTCGTGAATTTTGTGTATCGTTGCACCCCTAATATTCATTGTTGTCCCTGTCGAAGCACATGAGAAAAAGACACTAACTTGTACCTTCTGAGCACGCCGTTTATCTGCTCTCTGGTTCTGGTGGTAGATGCGGCTGAAGTTGGAGACAATGACAGGGACGGGCAGAGCGATCACCAGGACGCCACTCAGGGAACAGATGGAGCCAAAGATCTTTCCAGCAATTGTCTTTGGCACCATGTCCCCATACCTACAAAAGGAGATAAATGAGAAAGGTTAGGAAAAAGATGAACGTTGATGCATAGTTTCAAATGCACTTTACTGTGTAATTATATGCACCTGTTTTAATGTGTTTCGAATATGTGCATGAAGAAACGAGAAAAAAAGAAAGAAAAGAAAACACTTTGTATAAAAAGTCCTTGCTCTTTGACTGATGTGAAAAAAAGCTGGCATATTAAAAGAAAAGCTATAGTTTTTGAATACACTTGATATTGTGGTGCTTGCTTCTGCTACTGTAGACAAAGCAGCAATTCACACTGCCTGCCACTCATCAGAAAGGTCAAAAAATACAGAATAAACACTGCAGTGGAAAACTGTAAGGACTCCCCTTTAAAGTCTGGACTTTTGTTACACATCACTATAGCAGAAGCACATGAGACGAGGGACTGACCAAATAAAACAGGAAGTAGCACGCATACGACATGCAAGCGTAAAATCTGTGATATATATATATATATATATATATATATATATATATATATATATATATATATATATTTTATATATTTTATTATGATTAATATATTATAATATATCACTGACTTTCAGCTATGTTGTGTTTGTGGATATATAACTGACTTTAATTATTAAACATTCGCAATAAATAAGTGACATCATATTCAGTACTTTTGACAGTTCACTCTTCGGCCGCTCCATCTTATTAGGGAAATTCCAAATACATAAATTTCAAAACTCAACCCCATCATTTAATTTGTTTTTGATTGAAATTGAATATTACTTAAACTCTCTTAAATTAACTTCCAATAAAAAAGGTTTATCATTGATTGAAATTCATTCAGAAATGTTTAACGAATGAGCTGTCACAACTTTCAAGTACAAAGTTGTTATGAAGTCTGTCACATTCCCCCCCTTTTTTATCCTTTATTTATTTATCCTTCTTATTTCATTGTACTGTATATTGTTACTCTTATTTGCCTTGTATGTCTACTGTACAAACTGAACTGGAATGACTGACTGTTCGCTTTATAAGTTCAATAAAGTTTGGAAAAAAAAAAAAACCTCTTCGGCCGCTCCCTTCTGCCGTATTTTGCGGCAAAATTATCCACACCCACCGCCGCGCTATGAATTGTGGGATATATGGGACCACGAAGCGTGCACCGGACCACGCTTGATATTTGGGGAAATCGACGGCGCATTTGGAGTATGCATTTGAAGTACACTTCGAATTGGGACAGCCGTCGTCGCGTGGCGGTGACGTAACCGCACTTGAAATGCGTACTTCAAGCGTGCAGACCCTGAATTGGGACACAGCCATGGAAACAATAGATTTAACATGGAAGATGTTGAGGACAAAACATAAAGACAGGTGTAAGAAAACAGGAGGAAATCACTAAACAAGAAACACAGAGACAGGACTAAGGGAACAGGAAAATAAACTGATGACTGATGACGTAAAGTAAGTAAAAAAGAAAACCCAACATAATAACATCCAGAAATAGGCCCAGTTCTCAAACTCAAAATGAATTTAGCAAAATTAAAAAGTCTAAAACACAGAACACTGGGTCACCGACCCAAAACCATGACAGTTACATCCTGTCAACGAGCTTAATGAAGGCCAAGTGTTTTTTCATGGTAGTAAATAAATAAATAAGCAAATTGATTTTCTATTTTCCATTTTGTTTCTTAAAGAAATTTGCTCACAACTGAATTATGCACCTTGAATGCAGTGCAATTACTGGCTCCGCATTGCAATTCTCAACCTTGAAAATTTAATTGTTAAGACAAGCGCCAGAAACATTCTTGTCATGCTGTTATTAAAGCGGGATATATGCTTTAAACACACAACTGATATCACCTTTTAAGATGCAGTGATGTATTGAAACATGGGCAAACATAATTTGAAACAGAATATAAGACAAAAACAAAGTCTGTACAATTCCAATAAGCTTGAAAGTCAGTATTTGGTATGACCAGCTTTGTTCTTCAACACAACCTTCTTCGGGAAAAGTTCTCCAGGCTTCTTGAAGGACATTTGAAGCTCTTCTTTGGATATTGGCTGTCTTTTGGTCTGTTCTCTCTAAATCACTGTTAAATATTATATATAATGTTGGGTTCCGGGCTCTCAGGAGGCCAGTGCATGAATGGTAGTGCTCCATGTGTGTGTTTTCTCTCCAGACACTCTATGCTTTTAAGGGATAGGCAGTGTTGGGGATCATTGTCATGCTGAAAAATTAAGTTTTCTCTAATCCAGCATTTTCCACATGGAATTCCATGGTGGATCAAAATCTGACAGCACTTTTCTCTGTTCATAATTTCATCAGTTTTGATAAGATCCCCACCATTTGCTGAAATGCAGATTCTATCTGTTATAGATAGCCGTAGACACACACCTCGGGACATATTGACAGTGACTTGAACCACAAATTTAAATTTTAGATTCATCACTAGAACGATGCCACCTTATCCCATAGTCCAGCCAATAATGCGATTCACATTCGTATATACGCAGATAATCAACGTGGTTGACAGGCTATGACAGACTGATGTCACTCACAGTGGTCCAAGGGATCACTCAGGGAGTTTGTGTGTTCGCTCAGACACATGAAAAATTAGAGGAACATTGCATAGGTGTGAACATCTGTCTCCCTGTTAGCTCTGTGATAGATTAGTAACCTGTCAAGGGTGTACCCTGGCTTTTACCCTATGACACCTAGGATAGGCTCCAGCCCCGTCATAACCCTGAACTGAATATGGGGAAGAAAATGGATGGAAAATGTAATCAGTGGGCGTTCCATTAGTATGTAAATGACCTTGAGAAAAAAAGTAAATCTAAGAACTAACGGGAAAGACAAGTTAAAGTATATGAGCTACAGCTAATTTTAAAGCTAAATAAACCTAGAATACCTCAAGTAAAAATAAATCAATTCAGCTATAATTATGAAAAATCTGCTTTTGTCATATGTTAAAAATAACACAACCAGTGCTAGCTAAAAGTCCTTAATCACATCATTGTTGCTGCTCTGAACCTTAACCCTGTCCTTGGCCACAAAATGAGTGGAAACAACATCACATGCATGCAGGAACATTAATTATTTCTGTCTTTACACTCCTCAATTTTCAGATAAATTATAAATACTTATTATTAAATGAAAAAAGTACAAGAGTACTGAGCTCTGTACAGCTAAAGGGAAATTAAAAGTCAATTGTTCTTTGTTGGTTCATTGCTTCTGGTCTAGGTATTTATTACTGATTTACTACATCAATAATATGCAGTTATATAATTTTGGACATAGCATTGTACAGAAATCTTTGCTTCTTCTCCTTTCTTTGTTCCCTATTTTAATGCCTGTTGTCGTCTGCTTCTTTTGGGCCCCTGATAATTTGATTACACAGGTGAATGACTGCTGTGACAGGTGGACAGAAGCAGAAAGATAGGACCAGTGCTATCTATGTGGCTCAGACCAGGCATAACAAAGCCTTGCCAGTGGGCTCTGAGGCGAGGAAGAAGCCAAGGTGTACTCTCTGGTGAATGCTGTGAGCCATGATGGCATTTGGGGCAACAAATTGATTTAATAACGGGCTTCAAGGACGTGCTTGTAAGTTGGCGAGAAGAGACACAAAATCATCACCTGGAGAGGATACTTACAACGACTTTAAGTACTGTGACATGAAACGATGTTCACCAGTGTTTGCTTGTGCACTTTTTTGTGTAAGAAGAAAACAGAGAGGACTATGCTGCATATAGTACCTCTGACTTTGATCAACCCATTTACATAAGAGTCACTTAAAAAAGGCTCAAGAACCGAGTTGATTTTAATCCTCTAGGCTTCACTGGAACACTTGCACTTGTCAAAAGACCCTTTTTGCCTCCTCTCTGACTGTTTGGCCTCTTTGGCTCCAGAGTTTCCTCTCCACTGCGTTCTCGACACCAAGAGACCTATGACAGGTAAGACCCATGCACTGTTGACCACTGGGCCTCTTGAGGGATGCTCTCCAACTTTCTGACTCTTGTTTTTTTGACCTAAAGCTTCCACCGTGGCCTGCTCTCCTTCCCGAAGAGCAGTATAATACCAATCTTACCCACCTCCTGCTCGCACAGAATGAAGAGATGAGGGATTATCACAAACGCAGCCGTCCGCTCTGCCTGAGTCAATGCGCGCAGGTAGGGAAGAATATGTTTCTCAAATCGTAATTCAAAATGACTTTCCATTTTTGTTCTCAGTAAAGACGAGGACAGATGATTCAGACCGGAAATAACAGAAGTAATGTCAGATATAATGAAAAAAAGAATTGAACAGACTGCTTTTTATTAACCACACTGAAATAAATTGGGAAAAATAAAGTCAATGTAGTCCATGCCAAGTTTAGCGATTTTGCAGAATTGCCATTAAAATTTTTAAATTCATTGCGCAATTTACAGTACGTTTGATTCATAGAAAAGGATGTGGTGATTTAAACCAGTTTCTAAAGTTCATGGTAATTAATTTTTAACCCTGCTTTGGTCTACCTGTATGTATCTAAAGTAAAGGACTCAGTGGTGAAAAACCAAAGAATACTGAGCTTGTGTTTTATCCATCCCTGTCAAAATAGAAAACTTCAAAGGCATAGCAGCATGAAAGTAGGGGACAGGTTTAGCTATCATCAATTATGATGGCTCTCTATGAATTATTATTTCTGTTCACATAAGAAGAATAATACATTTTTGTTGCTCTTCATTCACCAAACTGAATTTCGAACAGCTCTTTTTTTCTTTGAGGAAAACTTTCTCTCATGATGTTTCCTGGCAGGCAGGTTGACGCGTACACCAAGCAGAGAAGAGTCAGAAAAATGAAGGATTATTAACAAACGATAGAGAGATGACCACAGGGCTTGTTGTTATTGTTGCTGAGTCCTGCTCCTGGCTGCCAGACAATGAGACAAATTATTTCACAGTTCGCTTCGCGAGCTGTCTGTCAGCTGATGAGAGACGACATTCTCCTGGCTGTCTGCGACTGCTTTGTTGTAATAATG